CCCTGCCTCGCCCTGACTGATCATACCTATTATAAAACCCGCACCGCCCTACTCCGAACCCAAAAATTTCAAAAGAAATCTCTATAGGTCGGGTTGGATTGAAACCCATCGAATTTATATATTTTGACCATCCATAATCCGAATTAATTAAGATAAATTCTTAGAAATCGAAAATGAAAAAAAAAACTCAATGCTCAAAAGTAGTACTTGCAAGTGGGTAAGAAACACAGTGATATCATAGCTTCAAAGGTGGCTTTTAGTAACTAACATTGGATAACCGACCAATTAGATGAAGCAGGAGTTAGATGTCCGAATTCCGTTGAATGACTTCAGGTGATGTCGTCTCAAACCAAAAACAACTAACAAGTGGTCAACAAATTAATGAGTTTAATTATAAATCAAGTCCTCAAATTAATTTAAGCTTTACATGTTATATCGACCAATGCTTTAAGCGGTAATTGCGAGTGTTAAAATTGGGTAAGAATTAGAGTTAGATGTTTTGAATCCATTGAATTACAATTACAAGAGGTGACGTTTATCAACCCAATAACAACTTGTGTGCTTTTATATTAGATCAAATAAATTTTATTAGTTTATTTTTCAATTTAATTTTAAATATTTGTTCGAATTAAATCATAAAAGGTTTAATACAAAAATAATTATCCAACCTATATTTTAAACTCGCGTTTTGGTGTTAATTTTTTTTTGTTCAAAATAGGTATTTAATGTTTTTTCGTTATACTTTTAGATCATCATTATTAAAAAGCCGTTAAGTGACATGTGTCACGTTTATATTTTTATTTTATTTTTAAAAATTATTATTTAAAAATATTTTTTTAAATTTGAACGTGACATATGTCACCTAACGATTTTTTAACGATAAATATAAAAAATTGTAACATAAGAAGCATTAATTATAATTTTTAAAAAAAACAACTTAAAATCAGGCTATAAATACCCATAAAACAACACTAAGGGGCTATTTGTTTACTTCATAATGATTAAGCGCTAAATGATTCAAATGTTGAATGATTCAGAGCTCTGTATGAATTAGCTCTGAATGTGACATGCTGTTTGATAATGGTTTTGAATCATTCAGAATATACTTCTGTGTTGAATCATTCAACACTATTTTGTTGAATTAGTCATCACTAAATCATTCAGAGGTGTCGGTGCGAAACAAGCGTGTGAAATGTTGAACGGTCCATCATTCAACGTTGAATGGTTCAATTAAGAGACAAACAAACAACATTAATTTTCCTCAATGCAAACCAAAAACAAATCTTTAATCTTCACTTCATCTGATTCTTCAACCCTTCTCGTTTACGTCAAAAATGACCGGTTCCAGCGTTTTCATTCTAGCTTTCCTCGTCGCACTGTCCTTCTCAGCCATCGACGGTAGCCTGGAAGCTCGGCATCTCCAGCAACTACAGCCGATGCCAACGCTACCACCGTTGCCTGCAATCCCGAATCTGCCGCAGCCGACGCTTCCGACTCTGCCTAATCCCGCGACTGTTCTTCCTCCGCTTCCGAGCTTGCCGAACTTTCTGCCGACTGCACCGAGGTTCGCTTTACCGCCGTTTCCGAGCTTTCCTTCGGTTCCGTTCTTGTCTCCACCGCCGGCTCCTTCTAGCCCTTGAAGATGTTTGTGCTGTATTGGTTCATAGTATTGTGTGTATTATGGTTAATGTGTCATTGAGAATGGTTCTTGTGTGTGTGTGTGAGAGAGAGTGCTTGTTTTGTTTAGAACTTGAAGTTATTTCAAGCGAGGAGGTTTGTTGTCTTAATTTATTGTGTTTTCTCTTTATATTTTACATATACAATAAAGTATATACTTTTAAATGCTAGAGTAAATTACATGTTTAGTACTTAAACTATTAGTTTTGATATATTTTAATACTTAAACTTGTAATTTTTCAAAATCTTACCTAAAGTTTAGTTTTTGTTTCATTTTAATTATCCCGTTCAAAATTTAACGTTAAGTTTTTTAAAAAAATTGAAAGTTTAGGTACTAAAATGGACTGAAATTGATAGTTTATGTACTAAACGCATTAAGTTTTAACGATAGGTACTAAAATGAAACAAAAATTGAATGTTAGGTATAGTTATGAAAAAATTAAAAGTTTAAGTACTAAAGTGGATCAAAAATGATAATTTAAGTACTAAATGTGTAGTTTACCCTAAATTTCAATTAAAATCATAGTGTTTAGAACTTTCACTTTTGGAAATTTCTAACTTTGATCACTAAACTTTTAGAACTTATATTATATTTACTGAACTTTTTAATTCCCTTTTGTTATAATTATTGTCGTTTGATATCATTAAAAAAAGTTGACATGACATGTTAAAATTTCTAATCTTTTATTTTCTTTTTCAAATTGACATTAATGAGTTTTCGATGAACAAAATAGATTTCAGTCATTCTTAATGATAGAAATGCTCTGTTTGGTTATAAGATTAACATAGTTCGATTTCAAACTGGTCCAATGTTTAACATTGATAGATCAAAAATATTTAGATTTCAGTTCCAATTGAGATCTGAGGAAAACGAAAGTTTTTCCAATGAGTTCGAACCGAAGGAAAGAAATATAAGAAGAAAAATAGTTAAGTGATCTTTTCATCTAGAGAAACCAATGAACGATAGGAGAAACAACAACGAAAGGAGGAACGGGCCCTATTAATTTGGAAGAAACAAGTTAGAGTTCTTTTTAGGGTTTGTTTAACATGTCACATCAATTTTTCTTAACGATAACTAACAAAAATTATCATAATAAAAATAAATTAAAATTTTAATAATTTTAATATATTTTTTTCAATTTTGATTGAGATTGGTAGGTTTTGTGATGAATTTGAACTAAATCAAAGAAAAAAAAGGAAAATAGTTGGATAAACTATACATTTAGTATATAAACTATCAGTTTTGGTCTATTTTAGTATCTAAACTTTTACTTTTTAAAATATACCTAATGTTTAGTTTTTGTTTCACTTTAGTACTCGCCGTTAAAAACTTAACGCATTTAATACCTAAATTATGATTTTGAAAACTGAACTTTAAGTATGATTTTGAAAAAAATTAAAAGTTTAAATACCAAAATGAATTAAAATTGAAAATTAAAGTACTAAATGTGTAATTTACCCAAAATAATTCACTGGTCTTTTCGGTCCAGAAACACCTATTAATGACAAGGACAGCACCGATGAATGACAAGGACAACACCAATGGGGATGACCAATTTGTTAGAAAACAAGTTAAAAGTTTTTTCAAAAAATTTACCGTGTCAGTGTAATTTTTCTTAATGATAATGACTATTGTAAAAATAAATTAAAATTTGTGACTATAATATAGATTTTTAATGTTCAATTAATAAAATAAAAACGTTCCAAATTTAGTAATTATCCGTTTAATTTACTTTTAAAATTAAGTGTAAATTGTGCAACCTAAAAATCAGTTTTAGTCCGTTTTATTATCTAAACTTTCAATTTTTAAAAAATTATATCAAACGTTAATTTTCATTTCATTTTAGTACCCGTCGTTAAAAACGCAACATGTTTAGTACTTAAACTATCAGTTTTTGTCCATTTTAGTACCTAAACTTTTATTTTTTTTCAAAACTTAACGTTGAATTTTGAACGGGATACTAAAATGAAACAAAAAACTAAAGTTTTTAACATAGGGTACTAAAATAAAACAAAAACTAAACTTTAGGTATTGTTTTGAAAAATTAAAAGTTTAGGTACTAAAACAGACTAAAACCGAAAGTTTAAATACTAAACGGATAATTTATCTTAAAATTAATTATATGTACAAATAGTTAACCCGAACTCGTGTAAAAGTGGTGTGACATAGGGTTGTAAACGAGACGAGATAAATCGTGAGTTACTCGAGATCGATTCGATTAAGGCTCGATAAATACTTGGATCGAATAGACTCGACTCGAGCTCGACTTGAGTTCTTAACGAGCCGAAACGAGCTACTCGATATTCGACTCGAAAAAACTCGTGAGCAGCTCAAAAATATAATATATTAAGATTTTATTTTTTTAAAAATAAATTATTAGTTTATGTATTGATTTTTTTTAAAATATAGTAAGATTTTTATGTATTTAATGTTCATGTTCGAGTTTGAGTTTGAGGCTTCAATCGAGTTAAGTTTAAGATTTTTTTTTCATTTCGAGCCTTTTCGAGCTGCTCACGAGCTTCATTTCAGGATTTCGAGTTGGAGTCGAGCTTGAAAATTTTAAACTCACGAGTTTTCGGATCGAATCGAGCTTCATTTCAAAGTTTTCGAATCGAATCGAGATTTATTTCAAAATTTTCGAGTAGAATATTACACCCCTAGTGTGGCAAACGACCTTCAACCATTAGACAAATTAAGGAGACGATAACAGATCGGTTGCAAATCTCACAGCTCATCAAACCCATATTTGAACGAACCATCTTCTTTACTTGTAATCTTTACCTTTGCCCTCTTATATAGCCGACAAAAGAAGCCCTCTTCCTTCTCATCACTCTCTCCTCTATCTTCTTCATCTTCTCCAATACTTTGCTTTTCTCACGTTTTCTTTTGATTCATAATCCATGTTGCCAAAACCTGAATCTGGGTTCTTCTGGACCTTCACTCTTCTCCCCTAAACGAAGAAGAAAGCGTCCAAAAAGAGGGGGTTTTTTCGAGAAGTGGAGACGACAATGGAGATTGAGAGGTTTAGGTCATTGCTTTCCCTCTGTTGCAGAGCCCGATCCACACGTGTTTCACTATTGGGTGGAAATCACACTGCCGCTAGGTTTTGCACTCGCTAGAAAAGATCTTCCTTTCTGCTAAGCTGTTGTTAAGATTTTCTCTCTGTTTCTGTAATTTTCCGCGAATTTTTTTCTCGGGGGATTTTTTCCCAGAAAATTTTGCCATCGAGAGGTACCCTTTATCCTAATTCGGCTGAATTTAGGGAAATTTAAGCGATTTTGGGTTTGTTTTCAGACGCAGATCCGGTTATTCGACGACGGAGATGGCTGGTCGGCCGCCTCGACCGAATCCCCACAGCTATAATCAGCTCAATTACTCGCAAAGTCCGAGGATTTCGTTGAATCCGGACACCCTTTTGGTTATTAAGCTTCCGGATCCGAGGTTCTTGCTTGTTCTGTCGCGTTCGTTGTTTTTAGCGACGGTGATAATAACATTCCCTTGCATTAGGTCGTTTTTAAAAGGACCTTCGGCTTCAGCAGCGGCGGAGCTTCATCGGAGCTCCGGTTCCTTCAGCTTGGAGTACTGGAACTTGCTCTGGCGAGATTTTGCCGACGAGGGTCTTGTCAAAAAAGGACAGAAAGCTCTCGTATTGAACTCTGCAATAGAAGGGTTCGATGTTGATGAGGAGGAGGAGGATGATGAGGGTTCCATGTTTATGAACAATGATGGGATCAATGTTGTGTTCGAACCCGATTTCAGTTCGCAAAGCTCCTTACCGAAGGAAGGGTTCGATTTCGTTTTCGTTTCGGGGTCGATCGACTCCGAGTTTGTGGATCAATTAGTGAAAACTGGTGGCATTGTTGCAATGCAATTGGGCGATGACATCTCGACGGGGTATCAAAAGCAATCTGATTATAGAATCATTTATCTTAAGAAATTCCGTTCCACCATCGTTGCGATGAAGAAACTTGGTCCCAAGAACCATTTCTTCGATTCTTCAACGAAAAGAAAGCTTTGTGACATGACAATGGAGGCTAAGAAGGCAGCATTGAGAGGTTTAGAGGATGCTTTATATGAGCCACCAAGAAAAAGAGCTGCATACTCAAAGAAAATCAACTTCCTCCCCGATTTGTTAGGCGATTCCCTCGAACATTACCCTCGTAGAGTATTCATCGATGTCGGATCCAACAATGACGACGACAAGAACAACATCGCAATGAAATGGTTTGAGAAGAACTACCCCAAAAGGAACCAAGAATTTGAGGTTTACGGTTCCGAAACGGTGAGCGACCGGATCGACGTTCCGGATTGGTTGACAAAGAATGTAGGTGAAGAAGATTACGTGGTGATGAAAGCTGAAGCCAAAGTCGTGGAGAAGATGATAGAGAGGAAAGTGATCGGTCTGGTGGATGAATTGTTCTTCGAGTGCAGAAATCAATGGCAAGATCAAGCGAGGAACAAGAAGAATAGGAAGAATCATAAGAGGAAGAAGAGCAAAAGGGCTTATTGGGAATGCTTAGCTCTGTATGGTAAGCTTAGGGATGAAGGAGTTGCAGTTCATCAATGGTGGGAATGAATGAGAATTGCTTAACAATGGAAGCCATTGGCAAAGCTCATTTGCTACAAAATCTGCATCTTGTTGTGTTAATGTGTAATATTAATAATTAATCTTTATGCAGGGATTTGCATGTGATTTTCCCTTAAATAAAACCAGTTTATCTCTTTATTTTGCAGCTGTTTGATGATGATTGTTTGTTTTTTATGTTTATTGTTCGGTGAACTATACATTTAATATTTAAATTATCAGTTTTGATTTGTTTTATTACTTAATTTTTTAATCTTTTAAAATAATATTTAATATTTAATTTTTATTTCATTTTAATAATCGTTGTTAAAAATTTAATTCGTTTAGTACTTAAATTATCAATTTTAGTTCATTTTAATACTTAAACTTTAAAAAAAAATCAAAATTTAACTTTAACTTTTGAACGGCTAAAACTAATATTTGAGATACTAAACGTATAATTTACCATCTTTGTTTTCATGAGAATAATGATTAGGGTGAAATGATTTAAGTAATCTTCCAATAGCATGGGATAAAAATTATTGTAACGATAAATCTATATTTAATTTATTATATTAAAATAGGGCAAATTATGCTTTTTCATCACTTTGATCATATTTTTGTTTTGGTCACTAAAGTTCAAAAGTTTTCCATTTGATCACTCGACATTTAAATTGTTCCCATCGTATCAATTGGGTGTTAAATCTAAAATAATATGATAACGTGGTTTTTTTTTGTTGACGTGGGTTGTTTTCTACTGACGTGTAGTTCACCTCATTTTTTATTTTTTAATCATTTTTATATAATTTTAAAACTCTTTAATTTTATCTTATATCACATAACTTCATAATATCGTTAAATAATTAATGATGGAATGGTAAAAGTCAAAATAACATCAAAATTAAATGATTAAATCGAAAACATCTAAAGTTTAATTATCAGAATAGATATATGATCAAAATTGGCTAACAGAATTTAATTTTATTCAAAAGATGAAATTTGTAGTTTAGCTATTAAAATATGAATCACTTATAATAATATTTTATAACAAACATTATTGTATGGCATGTTTCATGGATTATGTCGGGGATACGTGAATGAAATCAACTTTTTTAAGTTAAGTGGAAAAGTTAAATCTGATTTAACGTTAATTAATTGTTGTTAGCATTATTTTTAAGAGAAATCATATTTGATGGATTAAAATGTAATATATGTTAAAAACTTTTTTTTTGTTTTAGAATAACCACCGATAATCAATCTATTGATCAACTAATCTGGATCGGGTACTACAGAGGCAAGGGATACCCTCCCAACCCAGTTTGCTTCATTCGCAATCGCTAGGATTCACATCTCTGACCTTACAGAGGCGGGGCTAGAGGCAGCACACATGTGGACCGAACAAGGCCTTTGAATAGCAAGGGCCCAAAAAAATTAGATTTATTACAATAAAATTCTCATTTTTTTGGGTCTAACTCCACTTTACAAGAAATGAGCTCATCTTCATGATCTCCCTATCCCACACCGTTAGGATTTGAGTTAGTAATATCACCAATCTTCTATATATACTGCATTCAAGCTTTGCAATTTTACTAAGGGTCTCTTTTTAAGAATTTGCACAGGACTTCCAACGTCCTAGCCCCGGTCCTGTGACCTTACTTAAGGGATCTAGTGTCTCATCCGACTAAATTAAATGATTGTTGGTACATAGAATGATATACATTTAATAAAATTGACATAATAATAAATCTAACCTTTTAACTTTTACACTTTATTTTAATTTAAACATAAATCTAGACATTAATCCTCGTTATTTTAAGGTATACCATATACACTTTTTAGGTGATGTATCATTTATATCATCATATTTTTAATTTTATCAATTATAACATTGAACTTTGATTTTTGTTTCAATTATATTATTAGACCTTTAAATTGTTAGTAGTTAGATCAAAATGACGTTATTTTAATGAGATAACTATATTAATAGCTATCTATCACGTCATCGTGACGTTAACGGTTTCTTTGATGCATCATGTCAGAAACATCTCTAAGACGATGCTATCTTTTCATGTTTAACGATAACCGTTAATCAAGATATTCTGATAAGTAAAGTTTTTCTCATGCATAAGTTGAGAAAATGAAAGCGTTTGTTCCAATTCCCCCTCCTTTCATACCCTGGAAGAATCAAATTCCCAAGATCTAACGATTTTCTTCGGCATCTCATCGGAAACCAGAGCTCCACGGCCATAAAATCAAATAAATTTCTCTCGGGCCATTTCTTTCAGGCATTTCGTCGACTACCCTTTCTACAGAATCCATGCCACTCAGTTTCGTACAGAAATCTACCGGAGTTGTTTACACAAAAACACAGTTGCAAAACCCATATCTAAGAGCCTGAGTATTGATCGAGATCATATGATTTCACTCTCAATCATTGATGGATGGATGGACCGCGAGGGATACGGGAGGTCCGATCTTATCTTTTAAATTTTTTATTATTATTATTAAGTTAAAGTGATTATAAAAAAATATATGTTATAAATATTTTCAATGATTTTGCAATGAATACTCAATCATCTCTGTTGCAATTTTTGGTGCTCGAATAAAAACATTTATGAACAACAAGTATTATTTAATCAATGAGATAATTTAATAAATTTTAAAATAATTTAAATGTTTTCGATTGATGACCTGATTTTGCACTCAGACAAATATCAAGCTTTTGCATATAATAGAAGATTAATCACCAAATGATCTTTAATGTTTGAATAAGTTTTCGTTTTTCCCACTTAAGTTTCAAAATAACAAAGTAATCATGAATATTATTAATTTGTAACAATTTAACCAATAACATTATTGAATTGTAACAAATTGATCATTTAACATTAATAACTGTTAAATTAGGTGATTGAATGCTTATATGACACATTAGTCTACCTTTATTTACATCATTTGATCACGTGAGACCATTTTGATCAACCTTCACTTCTTCCTCTTATTCTCCTTCTTCTACTCGGTTCTTTTCTTTCTCCAAACCCATCTTTTCTAAATCTCAAACAAATCATATATTATTTAAGAAATAGTGAAAACGAGTACAATACTATAATAGAATAGAGAGAAAAATCTTAATGAACATCTCCAGTAGAGCATCAGACACAATATTTACTTCAACTGGATTGAACTTAGGCTTGAATGATATGTTTGAAAGAAGAAGAAAAATAAAAGAACGGTAAGTTGAAGAAGAAGAAGAAGAAGGAGAGAGAGATGAGAGTCGATCGAAATGATCTCACATAGTCAAATGTTATAAAAAAAGTTATACAAACATATATCATCTTTCTGTCGTATATAAATCAATAATATTAATGATCAGTTTGTTACAATTTAATAACGTTAATAATAAATTTATTATAACCTTGACATTCTTAATGTTCGAACGTAAAATTCAACAAATAACAATAATTTATTTACAACTAATGTACTTGATGATATATATATATATATAGTATTGGGTTTAGAAGCCGAAAACCTGTGGATCATATGGACTGTATTTTAGGGGTGTGTAAAATTACCTGACCCGGTTGACCCGACCCGTCGACCCGGATCTAAAAAAATCGAGTAATTTTCTAAAAAAAATTACCCGGCCGGGTCTAGTACCCGGCCCGACATTTCCCGGGTCGGGCCCGGGTCACAAAATCTAGTTTTTTCGGGTACCTGGTTAGTTTTTTTTATTTTTATTTATTTTATATATAATTATATAAAATATAATGAATTATTTATATTATGGATTATTATATTTTGTATTTTGAACTTTTAAATTTTATGTTCAGATATTAGAGTATGTAATTCGAAATTTCAAACATTTAAATTTGTGTATATATTTTTTTAAATTAATAATTTAAAAATAAAAAATTAAAAACCAGATATCGGATACCTGATTACCGGGTACTCGTAAAATTCGAGTACCCAATTACCGAATACCCATAACATCTGGGTCAAAACACGAACCGAAAAATCGTCGACCCAAAAATTCCGATATCCGAAAATCGAGTACCCGAATTTGCACATATTTATTAACAATAGTAAACCGCAGCCGACAACAGAAACAATAACCTAAGGAAATCCAGTCGATCATCAAAGCTTGAAAATGGGAGTAGAGAAGCAAGTCATCAGGCCCGGAACCGGTCCCAAACCCACCCCCGGTCAGACCGTCACCGTTCATTGCACCGGCTACGGTTTCTCTCTCTCTCTCTCTCTCTCTCTATCGCCTTTCTTCATTATTTTTATATTTATTTCAAGCTAGCCACTCTGCCTGAAAAGAAAAACCCTGTTTGTCTTTCTTTTTGAATTTCTTCAATCGAATGGGTTTTTCCTAAACGCCATAATTTAATGTAAAAGATGCACTTTTCGGGGCTGTGTTTGATGATACGAATTGTATTGTTCTTACTGTTTTTGGTGCAGGGAAAAATGGGAAATTGTCTGAGAAGTTCAGGAGGTGAGTAATGATTTCCACCAGAATGAAGAATTGGGTTTTCTTATAGATTTTTCTTAGTATTGAATTACTAATTGTTTTCTCTGTTTGTGTCCTTTTTTGGCACAAAGGATCCTGGACAGAACCTTTCTCTTTTCAAATTGGGACGGGCTCTGTTATAAAAGGTGAATCTTAATTGCGTTGTTCTTGATTTTGATGGTTCCCCCCCCCCAATGTAGAAAGCTTATTTTTTGGGGTATCTTGATTAATTAATGTGAATGCATTGGTTTGAGTTTGGTGTGCAAGTTTGATCTACGGTAATTTCGAATTTGAATAATGGTTGTGATCTGGTAAAAGTTTTATGATCTTCTTCTGTCACACCGTGGCTTTTGTCGAATTGCTTTTCACCCGATATTTTGGTTGCCATGATTTGAATCTTGTACAATCTTTTCTCTATGCTGGTATTTGAATCTCATTCTTATTCAGCATGGCCTATTGGCTGTGGATGTTCAAGGTGAGCGTTGCGGCAATGACATTCTCCTGCCAGGGGTGTGTGAGTTGTACCCAAAAAATAGTATAAAGCTAAACTCCAATTGTTTCTCAATGTTAAGAGAAAGTACAATGTTGTGTAGAATATGCTTACCTCTTCAGTTCTGTTAGAGCCAAGTGCAGTATTTTTTTTTTTGTTCACATCGACTTCATTGACCTTTGAGATTGAGGTTCTTGTTGACATCGACCTCATTGACCGTTGAGATTGAGGAAATTTCATGATTTTTTTACTTCATCAAGACGTGTAATTAATATGAGGAGAGACACTCCCCTTTATAGCTTGGCTGTATACCTGTTTCATCTTTTAGAGGTGGTGGTCTCGTATTGAAATCGTGTAAAGGAAGATGTTAATTACGACAAGATTATAATATATATGTAGGTCGAGTTCAATATCGATTGAGAAAATGGTAAAAGAAGAAAAAATATTTGATGCTTTTTGAAACTTGAGTGTGTGAATACTCTGAATCTGACTTATTTTCTGTGTGTACGTACTTTCCACTCATTGTGCTGTACCTAATACCTCATTTGGGAGAACTAAATGGTATGCTCAAACTTTTGTAGGATGGGACGAGGGTGTGGTGGGAATGCAAGTGGGAGAAGTAGCTCGTCTTCTGGTACTGTTCTACTGCATTCTGAGTTTACTTAGTTCTACTAAAACCGATGCCATGATCTTTCTATCGATGTTTTTATCTACACTCGTGTCGTCTCCCTTGATTCACCGAGGAGAAAATCATTTTTAGTTCATCCCAGCATTCTTTCTTATGGATTGTTTTCATGTTTGCAGTGCTCGCCAGACTATGCGTATGGTGCTGGTGGATTTCCGGCATGGGGAATACAGACGAACTCGGTTCTCGATTTCGAGATCGAAGTCCTACGCGCACAGTGAGTGGTAGGCTTTTGGTGACTATTGAGAGATAATATGCATCCCGAATAATTTACCTGCCATGAACGGACGATGAGTATTTTCGAGTCGATTTAAAATTTTAAGAAATAATAATAGATTGAAATAGTCAACAAAACGAATAACGGTTAGCAAAATTACGTTCGACTCGAAAAAATCAATTTTTTTATTTCAAGTTATTCGATTAAACTCGAAATTCAATTTAGAATTTTAAGATTTAATAGCTTATCCAATTCAAAAAAAATAATTTTATTTGACTCAATTGAATATACGATCTTTGGAATAGATATTAAAATCGACGATCTTTTTTTCGTCCTCTTCCTACTAGGGGTGTTCATACTTCAGTTAAGATTGAAATTAACTGATTGAACTAAAAAAGTTTCACTTAATTTTTGGTTCGGTTGGTTAAAGGTTAATGACTTTCTTAAACTTAGGTTAATGAAATTGGTTAATTAATCAAATTAGCCAAATTAATCGAAATGATTAATATAATATATATTATATAGGGTAAAGTACACAAATAAGTCTTTTGACTATAGGGTGATGGTTTGTTGAGTTTATCGATTATTAAAAAGTTACAAAATGACTCATTGATTATAGAATGTTGCTTTGTTTAGTCTCCCGATTATTAAAAGATACAAAATGGTCATCAGAGTATTTAGTATATTCCAAACTATCCTTTTTCGTTAAAAAATTGATAACATATTAACATTCATCACAAACTACAATCAATTTTGTAACAAAAAATGACAAGTTTATAACATATTAAATAGTCGAACGATTATTTTGTAACTTTTAATAGTCAGATTTAATAAAATAATATCTTATAATTAAGGGATTATTTTGTAACTATTAATAGTTAATAAACTCAATAAAACATCAACATATAGTCGGGACATTCTGTGTACATTATCCTATTACTTATATATTAGTTAGCCTTAAAGGTGTCTAAATTTCTATTTTAATTGGATTAATCGATCGAATTTATTGATCAAATTAACTTGAAATGTTAAATATATAATTTATAATTCATATAAATTTTGATTAATTTAGTTAATTGATCATATTAAGCCGAATTTGTTTAATTCGTTAAAAAATTTAAATTTATAAATTTTAATTTGATTAACGATTAAAATGGAAATAATTTCGGGTAGTTTTGGTTCGGTCAATTAACCGAACTGACCAATCAAACACTAAAAAGCATATGGGCCATTGGGCTCTTAGCTACCCACAATTGAAAAAAGAAGAGCAAAAGGGAGCTTAAAGGCAAAGTCAACAACACGGTGCTTTAGTTAGGGATGGCATGAAACCCGAACCCGACGGGTTCCGACCTGACTCGATCCGATTGTGTCGGTTTTTTTTAAAAAAAAATCGGGTTCGGGTCGGGTTGGGTTTTACATTGAAATTTTCAGAGTCGGGTCGGAGTCGGGTTGGGGGTTAAAATAATCCTACCCGACCCGACCTGAACAGTTAATGAATAATTATTAATTTTTTATTATTTTTTTTCACTTTCCCTAATGTCCCTTTACCTACCCGAACATGATCTGGTAGTAAGGAAAATGCCATCCAGGATTGTTAAATTAAATGTATGTCTTTTGGTACTTTTTCTTTAATTTATGTAACTACATGGTTTGTTAAATATTTGTTGTTACGCATTATTATAGATGAATTATGTTCTCAGAACTTCTGATTGCAAGTCATTTTTTATTTAAAATTGACTGCTTCAAGCTTCATTGACAAGAACACTAGTAATAAATATATTGAAGGTAAATTGATTATGCTAGCCGAATTGGTTTTTTATTAAATAAAAAAATCGGGTCGGGTCGGGTTGGTTTTTAATAAATAAAAAATTAAATCAGGTCGGGTCGGGTCGAAACGGGTTTTTTGAACTATCCATCGGGTCGGGTCAAATCAGGTGAAAACTCAAATTTCATCGGGTCGGGTCACGGGTGGAGATACCCTTTTTTTCGGGTGGACCCAAAACCCGACCCAACCCGACCCATGCCCATCCCTAGCTTTAGTACTCAAAAAACGATGGTCATAACTCATAAATACTGAGCCGAGACAGTCAAGATAGTGAGTCGAAAACTCACTTCGTCAAACATTCAATAATCGAACATGAAGAAGCTTTCCCTCACATTCCTCTCTTTGTCGTCTTCATCACCTCTCATCGCATATAAATCTAGACTTTCCCTTCACTTCTTTCACCACACAATAAATTTTCTCTCTTCAATTCCCAGTTTTTCCCGCGCTTTCGCAAGAACAAAACCTAATTCTTTTCGGTCATCGAAATAGAATAATGGGTCTTAAAGGTTTCGTGGAGGGAGGAATTGCATCGATCGTCGCCGGCGCTTCAACTCATCCACTGGACCTCATCAAGGTCCGTATGCAACTTCAAGGTGAATCCCATCTCCCTAATCCCTCTCTTCAAGCTTACCGTCCGGCACTCGCCTTGAACTCCGCCGCCGTCGGGAATGTGTCGATCTCGCAAGCTGTTTCGCAGCCTCGTGTTGGTCCCGTTTCCATCGGTGTCCGTATAATCCAATCGGAGGGTGTTGCCGCGCTTTTCTCGGGCGTCTCCGCCACCATACTCCGCCAAACTTTGTATTCCACCACCCGTATGGACTCTACGATATTCTTAAAAAAAATGGACCGACAAAGAAGCTGGGAATTTGCCACTTACGAGCAAGATAGTTGGTGGACTTATCGCCGGTGGCATCGGCGCCGTAGTCGGAAACCCGGCCGACGTAGCGATGGTACGAATGCAAGCTGATGGGCGTCTCCCTATCGATCAACAACGCAATTACAAGAGCGTGATTGACGCATTGGGTCAGATGACGAAACAAGAAGGCGTTGGCGGCTTGTGGGTGGGCTCGGCGCTCACGGTGAACCGTGCGATGATCGTCACGGCATCGCAACTCGCGACGTACGATCAGGTGAAGGAGTGATGGGTGATGGAATCGGAACCCACGTGACCGCCAGCTTCTCGGCGGGGTTCGTGGCGGCTGTGGCTTCGAACCCCATTGACGTGTTAAAGACGAGGGTGATGAACATGAAGGTGGCGCCTGGGGCGGAGCCGCCGTACTCAGGTGCTATAGATTGTGCGTTGAAGACGGTGAGAGAGGAGGGGCCAATGGCATTGTATTAAGGGTTCATCCCGACGATCTCAAGGCAAGGGCCGTTCACGGTGGTGCTCTTTGTGACATTGGAGTAAGTGAGGAAGCTACTCTAGGATTTTTGATGGATGAGTAAATTAACGAACTTCATTTTACAATTACAAATAGGTTTTGAAATTAATTAATGTATTCATTTTAATCCTTTTTGTGGATAAACATACAAGAAACACCCTTGTATCTGCGATTTACTTCCATTAAGGGCACATTTAGTATCTAAACTATTACTTTTATTTTATTTTGATATTTAAATTTATTTTTTTAAATCATACTTAATGTTTAGTTTATATTTTAATTTGGTACTCAATTGTTAAATAATTAACAAAAAACTGTTGGACATTATTTTATAAATGACATATCAACATCACCGTTAAACTTTAAAAAATTAATTTAAATATTAAATAAAATAAAAGTAATAATTTTGATTAAGGTTGTTCAAATTAATTCATTGTCGTTAACCATAATTATTAATCGATGTAATCACTAAATTTTATAGGTTAATTAAACTAACTGTTAATATTAAACGATTTCAATAATTGAACCGCTAAAAATATAGATTAACGGTTACAGTTACAGTTACAGTTAATGAATCTTAATAAATGGTTAAACATCGATTAACCGTTAATAAATTATAATTAATTAATTATATTTTTTATAGAATATAATTAAAAATAAAATCAAAATATAAATTAAATTAGTTGACCCTATTCCTATATGTAATGGGATAAGGGGAGGTAGGGTAGTAGGTTGCCCCCAACGTCAGGTTGAGAGCAACTTCCGTGAAAGACCTCCGTTATAAATTGCCCTCAGTGAGACTCGATCCCACGACCACAAGGTTAAGAGCCTTGCGCTCTATCAATTGAGCTAGATGGGCAATTCCTAAATTAGCTGACCCTATTCCCGTATGTAATGGGGTGAGGGGGAGGTAGGATAGTAGGCTGCCCCCAATGCCAGGTTGAGAGCAGCTTCCGTAGAAGACCTCCGGCAGTCAGAATTATATATGATTTCGAATTACAAAATATAAATATACACACAATATTTTAAACTGTAAAAAAATGAATATACCCCATAATATATATAATATATATTTATAAAATAAAATAAATCTATAAATAAGATTTTTACAAATATATATGTTTCCATCATCGTAAATTTTATGAAAATTTGAAAATTTTAAGTTGTGATATGTATGTTCGAAAAAAAATTACAATAGGTTAATCATAAGTTACCCTATAATCGAACCGTTAATGACGGTTAACCATTTATTAATGATTAGATTATGATTAACAAAATTTAATAACAATTATAACGGTTAACCGACCATTTAGACTAAATGATACAATTAACCAACTGTAAACACCCCTAATTTAAATACTAAATATTTACTCTACCATTAAATCAATAATCAACTTCTTGATAGGACTTTTAACAAGGAGAATCTTGGGCTTTGATTGATGTATTTTATTGGATTTAGATTGGAATGGGTCTGTCCATTAGTGTTAGATTAAAGAGTGGTTGAAACTTCAGATTTGATTTCTCTCTTGGAAAAGTGACAACAAAATACTGATATTTTCTAGATCGACTCCACGTTTGTATTATGTCGTCGAGTCAGTGCTTAAATCAATGGTTATGTCAGTAGATATTAAAATATGATTTTATTATATCTCAATCAGTATGTTAATATCTAGTCCAGACGATCGTTAATTTTTTAATGAAAAATAACGAGTTTATAACATACGAATAATCGAGTGATAATTATGTAACTCAACAAATAGCGTCCTATAATCGAATGATTATTTTATAATTTTTAATAGTTAGAAGACTTAACAAAGCAACACCCACTAATCAGAGGACAATTTGTATATTTGACCCTAAATTTATCGATAAAAGATGATTCTA